CCTGTGGTCCCAGCTACTTAGGAGGCAGAGGCAGGAGACTCGCTTGAGCCCAGGAGTTGGAGGTCGCTGTGAGCTGTGATGCTACAGCACTCTACCCAGGGGGACAGCTTGAGGCTCTGTCTCAAAAAAAAAGGATAAATAACAATCTAGTTTCAGCTAGGCTCAGTGGTGCTCCCTGGAGCTCAGAAGGCCAAGGTTGGGAGGATTGTTCTGATAGAAGTTCAAAGGGCTCCTTGGGAACATTAGAGACCCTTGTTTTTAGAAATACAACAAAGCAGAATTACCCAGTCTCAGCCCCTGCTGTATATAACACTTGCCCCTCCAGCCTTATCAGTGTTGATACACATGTTTATTATTCAGCGCAGATTCATATTCTAGCAAGTTAGGAAGAAGAAAGGAAAGAGATAGAAATGCAGAGGTAGAAAGGTTAGGATTAACAGTTGGCTGGATATGGGGAATAAGGTTAAAGAAGCCCAAAGCAGGTCAGACTGGAGTATGATCTTGGCACTCGTGAGGTTAAAGTTCCTGGATTCAGACTCTCACTGCAGTTTGTTAGCTCTCTGTTCTTGTGTTCTTAACCTTTGAGCCTCAGTTTTCATATCTGCAAAATGGGGATAATTTAGTCCCTACTTCATTAGGTTCCTGTTGCAAGGGCTTGAGAGAGAGAATCCACACAAAGCACTTAGCATAGTGCCTGAATGTCTTCCATTAATTATTTATGATGATGCTGTTTTTACAGACAAGAGAAAAGGAAGAGCTGAAGTGGGAGATATTAGGAAAGATGATTTCTGCTTAGAGGAACTGAACTTGAAGTAGCAGAGGGAAGTGTCCTCAGAAATATCCAGGAGGCAGAGATGTGGGCCTGGACTAAGAGGGGAGTCATGTTGTTACCAGATAAAGAGGCGGGCTGGTCCGTCCCGTCTATCACTGTTAGCCAGTATACTGGGGATTGGTCCACCATGCTATTTGTCAGAAGGCTAGTGATTCTAGAGAACAGGGAGAGTGGCCTCTCCAAGACTGTTGTGTTCTTCTGTTTCCAAAATTACAGTTTTATCTATAAAAGGTCAAAGCAAAGACCACATTAACTCTTAATTTTAAATAATAATCCGTACAACTCAGTGACAATTTATTACAACATTTCCAATTCAAAAGTTAATTTCCTAAATCAGTCCATCTAAAGCAAAGTCCACAGTAACCTTTATCCTAAATAATAAGCAGCACAACTCAGTGACAACCTGTTACAACTTTTCCAGTTCAAAAATTAATTTCCTAAACTATTCAAGTTGGGTATCTTTAGGGTGAGAGCTAAATTTACAAAACAGTAAGAATGGGAGACCGGGACGTGAAGACCAGCTGTGTCCTGTCGCCCGCCTGACAGACTCCATCTTATTCTCACTGTGTGTGTTTTCAACGAGGGCTACTGCTGCAGGAGGGATGATTTTGGGGGCCCTGCCACTAAGTGGCTTTGCATTCATTTGCTGAAACCATCTTTTGATGGTCTCAGAGCTCTGACGGTTTGAACCTGTGGAAAATGTTTGATCTCTTGAAAACATTTGATCACTTGGGCTACTTACCTTTAGCTCTTTAGAGTGCACATGGCAATCCGTGGTGTTTGTGCTTCTGTGCTTTTCTAGCGGCTGGCGCCAGGGCTTCTGCCTGTGTTTGTGTTGTGCTGGGGGGAGGGGAGATGCAATCCCTCTGTCCTTTTGCGCTCCAGGCTGCAGCCCAGTGGGCTGGCAGTGTTTGCGCCTCGGGAGTGTTGGCCTGCCCCCGTGATGGGTAGGGCTTAGTGCTGAGCCACTGTTGATGTCCAGTTCCACGCGGTCAGTGTAATTTTCTATTATAAGACTATACCCTGGGGTTACTTAAAGAAATTTTTTTTTTTAATTTCAGATCATCAATGCTGTGGTACTGCTGATTTTATTGAGCGCCCTGGCTGACCCAGATCAGCAACACTTTTCAAGTTCTGAACTGGGAGGTGACTTTGAGTTCATGGATGATGCCAGTAAGTTGTAGATATTTTGGTATTTTCCTGGGCAGGGAATCTGATTGCCTGTCTTTCCTATTAAATTACAGGTATTGATTCTTGGGCCCATTTGAGATGATACTTTCCATTGTTACAAATCAACAAATATTTGTGTGCTTCCTGGATCTGCGTCTGTTCTAAGTGCAAGAGTCTAAGATCTGCCTTCTTTTCTTCATCTCATGTTATTTACCCATTTAAAAAATTTTTGCTTTGTTGTAGGCTTTTTACCCTGGACCTTTTGTCTTTCTTAGGAGAAAAAGGAGTAAATGATAGTGCAGAGCAGACTGAAAGGATCATGGATATTTCGATGTGTATTCTGTTAGGTTTCAGCATTTACCCTCCCTGGGAGGTGATCATTTCCATTCTTGAAATGATACAGAGATGGGGTGGTTGTGGGATAAGCAGGGAGGAAGTGGGGCACCCAGCTACAAGATCACGCAACCTCAACATTTTGTATCAGAATCATGCTTTGTCCAATCTAACTGAGAGGGACACTGCTGTGTATAATCTCAAACAGAAGATACGCACATTTCTTTCTTTTCTTTCTCCTCTTTGCTGACACAGAGTCTCATTCTTTTGCCTTGGCTTCAGCCCAGCTCACAGCAACCTCAAATTCCTGAGTTCAAGAGATCCTCCCACCTCAACCTTCTGAAAAGCTGGGACTGTAGGCACCCGTCACAATGCATGGCTAATTTTTAGTAGAGACGAGGTCTTGCTTTTTCTCAGGCTGGCTCTTGCTCAGACTGGTCTCAAACTCCTGAGTTCAAGCAGTTTTCTTCCATTTCCACCTCCTGAATAGTATGATTACAGGTGCGAGTCTGGCTCTGTCACCTGGGCTGTAGGTTACAGCAGTGGTATGATCATAGCTCACAGCAACATTAAGGGATCCTGTTGGGCTTAAGGGATCCTGTTGCCTCAGTCTCCTATGTAGCTAGGACTACAGGCATGTGCCATAACTCCTGGCTACTTTTTAAAAATTGTTAATGGGATGAGAGCTGAAAGGGATGCCCAGGGGATGGAGTCTGTCTTGTGTTATCCAGGTTGGTCTTGAACGAACTCCTGGCCTCAAGCAGTCTTCCTGCCTAGGCCTTCCAAAATGCTGGGATTATATGTGTGAGTCACTATGCCTGGGCCCTCTATGACTTATTGTTTCATATTGTGGATTAAGAAGTCAGGGCATTATACAGGGTGACCATTAAGTTTGTGTGCAATTTTAAATTGCACTCTATTTTAAATTGCATAGGAAGTTTATGGCTACCTATTATCCTGGAATTTGGTACCTTGCCAGACAGATGTGACTTCTGCTATAGCATTTCTTATTCTATAACATTTCTTATTCTTTCTGTTCTGAATAACCCTATTACTCTAGGAATTCTACCAGAAAAGATAATGAGTTCCATTAATGTTAAATTAATATCTTTCTGCATTCCTCTCTGAGTTTAAAGACTATATAAGCTGCACACTTCTAGTAGCAGGATTTCTTTTCTAAGGTAACTGAAATTAGAAAAAGAAGTTTGAAATGATCCCACTATGGTTCTATCTGGATCAAATGATAAATCTGCGTGCCTTGTTCTTATTGCCAGAGACTGCAGGGCAATGGCTATCCAACAGGTTAGGCTTAACTTAGCTACCTTCAAAGGCTTGCTGGTACTTAACACTTTAATTATTTTGTAATGTCCTGGATAATAATTCCAGTGCATTTGAGGTTTTTCTCATACTTTATATATTGAAAGGGATTGGATGAATAGTTTGTAATTACTTTAAAGACTTTGTGTCATTTAAATCGCATAGATAAAAAGGTGTACAGAAGAGGGTATATATTCATTTGGGTGAGTCTTTTAAAAAAGTCTTTTACATTTCCATATATGTTTTGATCTCCTTTAATGCGGTCGTAAATTAAAGGTAATTGTGTCAGAAACCCTTTCTTGGCTCGGCGCCTATAGCTCAACCGGC